TCCTTTTAAATTTAGAAGGACTTAACCTGCTACTGCACTAAGGTGACGACTTTTGCCTAACATTAGTTATAATATATTGACTCTATAAAATTTAAACCATCATGATTATTATCTTATACAGAAAATAGTTCTGTTGAGTAGCTTTTCCTATTTGGAAAAGTAAGTACTTCACAATGTCCTGTTTAGAAACCTTGTACTTTTTTTATTACAAAAAAAAAGAGGTATCTATTGTAATTCTATTGTCAACATAAACACATGTGAAGCAGCACGTCTCCAGATTCATGCAGATTTTCATGAAAATTTTGAAAATGTATTTAATAGTAAAATATTGTGAAGTGAACAGAGAAAGAAATTTTCACATTGCAATCAATGTAAATAACCAAAGAGAGGTTCAAATATGCAAAATTAGCCATTACTGTGTTAATAACGCAGTAGAAATATGGTGACGAATACTGCTTAATCAGTAAATAATCGCACATAGCATGTACATCATCACTTGAATCTTTGTCATGATCTTTTTACTTTTCTTAAAATCTTATGATACTTTTCTGAAGTTTGATTTTCTTGGAATATTTTGGCTCATCTGGAGGCATGCAGAAAAGAATATTAATATTGTAGATTTGATCATATATATCGACTATCTAAATTGGGTAGGGGGCATGGGATTGATTTTTTTTCTTCAAAATTTTGAAACAACATTAAAATATTAACTACTTCAAATAAAAGTTTGTTGTCCCATATATTTCATACACATACTCTTTCAATACATACCAAAAGAAGTTTATTAATTTCTATAGGTACAAAGTTCATCATAAATTTGATCTCCCTCTCCCTGGGAGGCATAATAGGTATAAATATCTCCAACATTCCCACCACCAAAACTACCAATTTATTACATACATGGTATCAAAAATATGTTTTTTCCTAATCCTTCACCGGCTGGAGCCAAAAGTGATTAGCATTTACCACCAGCACAGAGACAGGCCAGCCGGCACTTTTGTGCATTATAACATGACTCTATGTCTATGCTTATGGTAGCTCAATTTTTTAAAATATTATTTTGATACTGAAATCCCTTATACTTTGAATGGGCTGATCCAATTTAAAAGCAGGGCTATTCCATTACACAAATTGAGCAGGGTTAAAGTTTAATCCTCTCACTGAACAGGGGGGAACCAGCAGGGGAACCCAGCATGACAATATTCAAGCCATCATTGCCCATTAATGTCATTCCTTATCTAAAATATTCACCTAATCAAACATTTTGAGAGCAATATAAACATTTTAATATTCAACACAGATAGAATTCCAGTACTGTACCCTATTTTGTTTATACCCCAAATCAACGCCCACAATCTACCATCACTATCTATAATCATCCAGCATGAGCTAATGACACCTCTAAATCAAATGTTTACAATTTGATACCAAAAAAAAATGAAAATGCTGAGGGAAGAATAACATTCATATTTTAACATATGAAATACTAATGACAGAAATATTAAATTAAGTTGCAGCAACTTGCCAAAAAAGGAAAGTGTCTGTGTGTAAAAATCCCATGCTGCAAACTTATTTCTAGATGCATTTTATAGTTAGTTAGTTAGATAGTTTTATAGTATACAAATCATTTTCAATTTGGCACATGATAATTTTATTTTCATACAACCATGCCAAATGGGGAAGACCCTCATCTTTGTATGTTTAACCAAGTAAAAAATTTGCAAGATAATCCAAAAATAATAATAACAGCAAAAATAATCTATAGTATTATATAATCGAAACCATTTCAAATTTCCTTGGTTGCACAAAAACAACAACAACAAAACAACAACCACTTCTGTACAAAAAATCTTAAAAAATTCTTCTTCTTTTTTTCGTTCCTGTTCATGAAAGGAAAGTAGATAAGAGTTGTTCAGTTAGAGGGGACTACTGATGGAAGACTAAGGACCATTGTCTCTATATGGCGATACTTGAGTGAACGGAAATAAGCAGTTAAGTTGTTTATAGTGGATCAGTATAGATAAACACTAAACTACTTCAACCAACATTATTTGTATAGAAAACTATTTCAATGAGTAGGAACTATCTTAAAATGATTTTAATTTCGTACTTAGATATCATGACGCCTTGAAAAACAAATATGTTCAACCAACACACATTAGCTTCTCAATTTCTGAATTCATACTTATTCTATTTTTGTAAAATCTCTTCTCCACCTTTTCATCCTTTGAATCATAAATAACTTTAAAAGTAACTACATTTCGCATTTCATTTGCTTCTGTCTTGCTAACTTTTGACCATTGTGACTGTTACTAATAATTTATGTTCAAGGGCCACAACTCTTCTGCAAAAACAAAACAGACTTAATTGAAATCATCATTTTAAATGATGCCAATGATGAATCTTTCCAGTACATGTACAGTCTAAATGAGATATGTACACAAGCGCAATGAGATGAGATTTAGAAAGGAGTCCAAAGACAAGCTCATATGAAAACTAAATTGAGGGAATAATTCAAGGACTAGTAAGTTTTAAGTGTCAATATATCACAGGATGTGATGTCAAAGAAAATGTGACTATGGCATGATATTACAGTGAACCAACACAATGCAGCTGGACATTGTGCTCACTGCTTTAAGTTGACACTGTCGCCTACATATAATTAAGTCAAGGACTGTTCAAAGTTGATGGTCGTAAAACTTCCTTCTTTGTTGATCTATCAGGAACATCTAAATCAATATTTACTTTTCAATGATTTAAATAAACTGGGTGTGTACAATCCACCACTTAACCTATACTGTATTTAAGATCACTTCCTCACCATACATAAAGACACAGCATCTTCCTTTTCACACCTACAGCCTTAAAATAGTTCATACTTTCATCTTACATAGCTTATATTTTCACACTAACTGTGATATAACTGGGAGAAAATACTCGTAAAAACCTACTAAACAACTCAACAAAAACATCAAATATTACTCATAAAAAGCCTATTTATACTTCTACATAAACACAATCATATGGTTTTTAATTGTTCCTCATTACCTTACTTCATAGACACCCTTTGCCTCCTTGTAAAGGAATGGACTGTAAAACTCATCCTTGAAATATTTTGGCTCAAGGGATGTGTTAAATATATAAAGGATTCTTTTTACAAAACCCTTTAATATCAACCTTATCAGACACTTTTTATGAAATAATAAGCCAAACAAAATCTACATCCAATCATCAAGATCATAAACATTTTTAACCCCATCTGAATAATAGTTCTTTTATGCATAGAATTCTCAATAAGTATCATTTGTCTAATGTAGATTTACTCTGCACTTAAGTTCAGTGCAATAAAATTATTATATAACAGTGTAAGCAGTGTACAGAAATGAACTTCAGGGTATAAATCACTCTGACACTGCCAAAGCAAAAAAATGAATTTCCAGCTCTTTTAAAGGTTGTGAAAGACCTTGGGTGCTCTATGACCACATTACCTCGAGGCAGGAGTAAAAACCTTCATAGAACCACTGATTTTGAAGTTCTTGATTGGATTCCAACCACACTAAATAGCTGCTGATAAAATAATTTATATATATTCAAGCATCAAAACATCAGCACCAAGGGTTTATATATTAAACAATGGTTGTATTGTAGCAGTTCATTGTGACAAAACCTTCATGCCCCAAAGCATGTTATGAGAACCTAATGGCCCTGTGTATATTTTCAGGCATAGATTGGTACCAGGGGTAGAGTCAACCCTCTGTAATCTTGCTGAATGGCTATGTAATGCAAGAAAAGAATTTAAAATCTTCATCAGGATTTGAATAACAGTAGTGATGGGCAAATGAATCAAAATCAGGAATACTAAATAACCTGCAACTGAGACCACTAGAAAATGGTTCTTACAATGCAATTTCAAAGAGCACAACAGGTTTCCAAACATATGGACAAACAAAATCCTGTCTTCCAAAGTTTTAAACAAGAATTCTTTCCTCCAGGAAACAAGGAATTTCCAATCTATTGGGATAAATTGCTTTGAAATCAAAATTCCATACATATAATTACAACTGAACTATATATAACATTTTTATTTACTTTATATTCTCAGGAATGCGTAAACACTGTGGCGGAAATGTTCTCTTGTTCTTGTTACCACGGCACATACCCACATTTTTTTATTTCAGCTTTATCATACAGATTCAGTGAAGCTCGTGAGGGAAAGTCAATAAAAACGTGATTTTAATGTGCAAAATATTTGCCCGATTACTATCTTTGAGGTTTGTTGCTGCGTTATCAATTTAGTAAAATTGCGAAAACTTTCATCCCCAATGGTGAAACTCGTTTTATACCTGCATTCACAGATTGAAGATAGTATGTTATTTAATATCTTTATTGTTAATCACATCATCTGTAACACTTCAATAGGAAGTATTTCAAACATTCTTCTCATTCAACTATTGTAAAAATTTTGAACAAAAAAATGATGTATGTACAAGTTTCTGATTGATATTGAAAACTTGTTCAGGTTTGTCACCTGAACTTCACTGATATCCTTTTTGCATAAATAACAATTCACTGCAGAAAATTCACACATCAAGTCCTTGCTGGGATAAATTAACTTGCCAATGCCACCTGACATACAGTCAGATCAGATGCTAAAATGTTTGTTTGTAAATATTTGAATAATCTAAATATATAGCCCAAATTCAAAGCTGGACAGCACCAAATTTTAATATGGACAAGTCCAAACTCAAACCTCAACAAAGCTTGACAAATAAATTATATTAAGACAGTAAAAAAAGATTTTGCTTAGATAGTATTTTCTTTTTGCATGTAAGCGGTCCCTCAATGTAACACAATTGTAAAAGGTCTTATAGATCCATGTTACACTGCATTTTGTTGAACTAGTTTACTAACAATATTCAGCAGTGACGCATACTATCAGTGAAAGTTGTTTCATTTTATTTCATTGCCTGGCATATGTTCAACTATGATGTTTGACTTACCTTAGGGTTGAGGTCATAAAAATTGTAGTATTTGAATTTCAGCAAGGTGAAGTCATTGTCTCTAACACCTTGTTCCATCAGTGACCTTGAGGAATCCAACCATCTGAAACAAGTAAAGCATAAAATGATACTATTAATATTTAAACTACTGTCTTACTTTTTCCGTAGGTTTTTGAGTCAAATTGAAAGCTTTTGGTCATATGACTATTTCAGTCCTTTGGTTGGTAGAAGAAGACCCCTGATGCACCTGTCCAATATTTATAGAACAATTGATTACCTGAGTAAGATATTGCACCTAGATTGCTTCTTCCTTCCATAAAACATCTACAATACCTCATTAGGAATCGCAAAAGTAGCCATGTACAATATTTTTGTAATTAATTTTTATATTAATGATCACAGGTTCTAACTATATTGCCTGAAGTTGTTTTATATGTTCAACTTACATATTACAGAAACACGTAGAACCTTGAATCATACATAATTTCTTGTTGTTTTCCCTTTGGCCTAAATAAGTCTATGTGTCTAAAATTTGAAATTTGTAAAATTTCACAAGACATGAACATAAAAGCCTTTTTTCATTCAATGAGATCATTTTTTCATGTTAAAGACCAGCAAAAAAATCAAAATATTTTTATATTGCGTAATAAAATGTCAACAAAATGTGTCAACCATTTCAATCAAGCGCTACTTTTACGTATAATTTTTGTAGTACTTAATTTTGAGAAGCTTAACATGTCAACGTACATAGTTATATACTAGCCAAGACTGGTGAATGTGACATGATAATGAATAAATAACAAAAAGACTTTTATCCACTTTTATCTCCCGAAGTTATGAAATGGACTTGCCCTGAATTAAATAAGAGAACTGTTCATTATCAATAAAAGATATTTCAACATCATATTACTATAAAAATATGCAGGCCTACACAAAAGGCTTTATTCTAGATGAAAAGTTATTGGGGAATACCAAGAAAAAGTTTTCATTTCCTTTCAAACTCATTTTAGAGAATTTCTTGTTTTAATATTACTTATTTATGTACCCTGAAGCTTTCAGCGGAAACATATTGAAGGGAATTTAAGACTTTGCAGTTGACTACTTATTTTTTACTATTTAGACTTAAATAAACCAGAATGCAAGCTGCCCTAATGTAATGCTTAGAACAGCCTCTGCCAGCCTGCACTTCAAACTGCACATCCATAACTGATCTCTATACAGCTTGCTACATTTATTCAAGCTTTTTTTACATTTAAACCCTTTAAAGATTCCAAAACTCAAAGCACAGTTACAGAAATTTCAAGATTGGTGAAAGGTTAATATATTTTTATCAGGATCACACAGGTTGTAGTAATGCAGGAACTATATGTTTCTGGTGAGGATCATAACATTGTTATCTGATAACAGGATAAAGTATGTACTAACATATGTACCTGGATGACCAGTCTGACCTATGTCAGATTATTTTATAAAGGTATTTATATATACAAATAATAGATTATCATGTGGTAAGTACCCTATATATTTTATAAAGGTATACAATTAGAAATGGTGCCCTCAAGTACTGCAGTATTTAATATTTCTATCAATTTTTTTAGAATGAAAAGGAGTTAGTTTTCACTGACTTAAGTTACTGGTATTGCTTGCTGCATCTTAACTTTAAAGTACATATAATTATCAAAGTTAAGTAACTGATCAAATACAATATTTTTTCAGGTCAATCTCCCATGTTAAAAGGTGGCGCTACATATGCAAATCAGCACATTAGGATTACTGCAATACCAACAGCAGGGACAACAATATATTACATGCAAATAATAGGGAGAATTAATGAATTTTTTCAATCAGTATGCAAGTGTTTAGGGATGGGTGGAGTTTCAATAAGTTATCTCTACACAGCCCTTGAACAATAAGAGGTCTTGGCATATTGTTTTATGTAATTTTTATCATGGCAGGAAATACTGGATGCATGTTTTATCTGCATCAGAGATATGAATAATTTATATTTATTTAGCAGTCAAACTGATATGCACTTTATATATCTAAGTCCTAGTATCCTATGATGTGAAAAATAACAATATTAACCCTTAACCTGCTGAAACCGAACATTATAAGCCTTTGTTATAGTCTGTAGTCTGACCAGGCTCGATACTGTTCGTAGCTTGATTTTTTTATTTTTTATTTTTAGTTTTTTGTACTATTCCCCTGAAATTTTGAATGGACAGATCAAAAATTCAAATTCAAAGTTGGTCAAATTCATTAAAATTCAGCATGTTATTTGGGTTTTGCCAAAAACCTTTCAACCTGTACGCTAAGAATGTCTGTATATACCCAGATTCCTTACATACCTAATGTTATTTATGTCTTTTAAAGGGTATTTAGAAAAATAAAGAGCTTATGTCACTTCAGCATTATTTTAATTTGCTACAGTATCTGTATTAAGTTACAACTGACCTGCTCCGAAACTTACTACTTTATACTATAAGAATGATATTAAATATTGATAAGATCAAAATAAAAGAATCTATACTTGTCATATGAACACCAGTAGTGCATGTAAGGTCACAAATGTTTACATTATCATAATAATACTCTATCATGTGTCTTGGCAAAAAATAGGTCAGATGACCTATATTATTATTTTCATATTTAAATTGTGCCTTCGTCCTATTTTGACAGATATACAAGTAGTCATTAAATCTATCTCACAGTCTTGTCTGCTTGCCAACATCGGTTTACTTTGATAGATATAAGTGTCAACACTGTGCATGTATATCATCCTTAACCTAAACTCAAGATATCACTGGAATTTATATGAGTTCGCATTTCTGTCTCAAAAGAGATTTTTTTTTCATTTTTCGCAGCCGAAGCAGCTTTTTCTTAGAATTTCTTGAATTGATGAAATTTACAGCCGGTTTCTTGTCTATTGAAAAGGAATATAAAAAATATCCTAACAAATTTGTTCAAAGAAGAAAATAAATCAGTGTTTCTGAACCTGGTGCAAATTCCATTCATACATTCCAGTTATATATTTCAGATAAATATATCATCCACAGATGGAAATGGTGCAATGGTGCATCAGTAAACGGCAATTTTGATGTTTCAGACTTTTTTATATCATGTGATAAAAAGAATCTTAGCTGTCACATCATATAGACTAACATATAGATATATCATTTGGCATGCCAGAGGTTTGCTTTCTAACACCCCAATACTAATTCCATGTAAGACTATAGGAACTTATTCCATGTAAGACTATATGAACTTATTTTATGCAAGCCTATAAGGAAATGACAGCTCATAAGATTCTTTAGATGTACATGTATTATATACTGCACTTAATCATCATTGATCAGTCAATAACTTCTGACCCTTATGTATGCTTACTTGTTTTGTATAACACAATGGAAGTGACAAAAAATGAACTTAATTTTCACATATTTGGGGTAAATTGTGTTACCTTGAATCTAGAAAAATAACCAATACTTACGCATAATTTACTCTAGCCTTTTCCAGGAGGTTTTTTGGTCTATTCAAGTACTGGAAAGCTTCTTTAGTTGTTACTGGCGGACTATTTGCAAGGGCTGACTCCATGGCACTCTCGAATGACAAACTGTACATGGACCCTGGTGACATGGTCCCATTCATCATACTAAGGTTGCCATTAGGGGAAAGGGTATTATAGGGACTGCCTGGGGTACCGGGGGTTCCAGGCATGTGTTGTAATGTATTCTGGAAAAGAAAACACATTTTTCATTGTAATTTTTCAAACAAATTCTGCATGTACTATTTTTTTTCGAACTTTCAGTCCTATTTAATGCCACTTCCATAGTAAAATGGTGTCTTTTCAGCTGTAATTGGTGAAGGAAAAACACCATGTGCTCTTGACATTGCATTTTTTAGAGAATAGGCATGCGCCTCAGGATAGAACTGCTGACTTTTAGCAAGCTGCTACCTAGCTGCAATTAGCTGCTGAAACAAAAATTTCATTTAAATATTTGATACATTCTGTATACTCAACAGTTAAAAGAGATCATAGAAAATTTCACATATATATCAAACTTCTAGAAAAAGTTGAGTACAATAAACAGATAAACTATGATATATAAGCAAGTTTTGATTTCTAATTCTGTTCAATTTCACTAGAAACAGTTAACACATAAAATTCATTGGGATTTCCATTTTATCTTCAAAATTTAATAAGGAAATACTGCAGAGAATCAAAGATGAACATCTTGATCATAAATATACACAATTAGCTGACATAGATGTTAGAATTTATATCAATAGTTTATATTGTGTTTTTCAAAATCTGTAATTCATGAACAACTGTCATGATTTTGTGACAGAAATATGTATGTTTGTTCTTATAAGTTAAGAGATCTGTCATAGCTGCTTAGTTAGTAATTTTGAATAAACAGAATGTTATTTAGGTTTCAGTAATGCCTAGGAAAGTACTAACTTCATTAGGTGCAAATAATCAATGTCATTATGCAAGGGCAAATAGAATTCTCATTATTCAAACAAAAGTAAAGGAGTTATGGTTCTTGGCCTACATGTTAGTTCTATGATAATAAGAAATTATATACACCTTCAAAGAATAATGTAGAGAAAATTAACTAAATAGTAACCTTTATTAGTGCTAACATCAAAGGTTTGAAATACTGCACCCTTACGTAACAAAGCAAACTTTGAATACAAAAAATTCAAAAAAAAAATTTTTGTTCACAAAAGCTATAAAACTGCCAAACTGTTAAAAAAATATTTTCAAGGTTTTATTACTGAATGAAATGTAAACACAGAGGGTAAACATAAATTACACCATTGTATATAAGACCTGATATGGTTAAATTTAATGTAATTTTCTCTAATTCATCATCATCAAAAACACATACTCTATAACGAGGCTTTGATTCAATACTAATGAGAGAATAACCTGCTTTGAATTATCTGGTATGGTAGAAAATTTTCATGTTTTATTATCAGAGTAAATATATATTTTACGAGGTCAACCTTAAAAACTTTGCATGCGGATGGAGTTACTGTTGTGATACCTGCTTCTTTATTCCATACAAAACTTTTTGATGTTATAGAAGACTCAGTTTGAATGTACTCTGTATATGCTTATTTTAGCCAGATAAATAATTATAATAATAAACCAGCCCAGTCCCTCCCATAACATTGTCAATGGATAGTAACAACTAAAACTAAAACAATTTTGAATATATATCCTGCTGGTGGCAACAGATTCTACCAATGGTACCACTGCAGATAAAATTCAGCCGCCACATCCGTGACATCTGATCACGGTCTGCACTTTTCGTTATTCAGTCATTATATATTAAGATTTTTTTCCTGAAAATGATGAATGGTTTTGCACATATTGAACTACACAACAGTAAATGTAAAGAATAGAAAGAATAAAGATATGAAATTCTGAAAATAAACAGAAACTAAGCTTAGCTGAATATCAGGCCTCCTGTGTAAATAGATACAATACTAGGATAAATTTTCAACTCATTTATTACCACATTTTCTGGGTTATTTCTTTTTTTGCTCAAGTTAAAATTTTCCAGGTATAAAAGATATTAGCCAGGTGCAAGTATGAGTTTCATCAGAGATAATGTAACAATGGGGTACTTATATCTGCCAACTGTCAAACCCCTGACACTCTAACCTAATCTTCTCTTTTATACAGGTTATTATAACATTTCCGCCTTGTTTTCTTATTCTGAATCTTAATATAGAGCAATAATTACAATCAAAGCCCCCGTCTTCATCCGTAACCAAATCCAAGCACCAATCTTTACCCATGACCACAGGCTACCATCTTTATCCTAGTCCAACTAATTGTACTACGAGACAAGATATTGTGCTATTTTGAGTCAGTGCAATATCTCCCCTCTAAAAAGCAAATTCTGACCCAGAACGAAAATATCTCAGAATCAAGCTTTGGCACGTCATTACATTTTGACTAATCTTTACCCATGACCCAATCCAAGCCCCCACCTTTACCCACGACAAATACCAAGTCCTTTCTTTACCCATGACCTGCTCAATGCCCCCATCTTTAACCACTACCTAATCAATGCCCCCATCTTTAACCCACAACTCAAATCAATGCCCCCATTTTTACCCACGACCCAATCAATGCTCCCATCTTTACCCACAACCCACTCTACTCCTTCCACTCAAAGAATAGGAGTACTGTAGATCATGATCAGAATGATGAATCCTATAATCTTTTTTTGAAAGATAATCAGTCATCTGATAAACAGATGCAATTTTAATCATTACTGTCTTACTGTTTCTTTAAAATAGAGCAGAGCATGAGGCCGGTAAATTTATTCAGAACAAGAATGGACATTACCCTTTCATACATGTTTTACAGATCATTCAACTTTTTCACAACTTGATTAATGTATATACAGCAAAGGTTTGTCCTGTTTAATATTTATAGATTCCACTAACTTGAGTTGAAAACACTATTTATTTAGGGTTTCATCTTGTACTAAGAATGTGCTAATTGGCCGAAGTCTATGCTGATTAAATAAGCCTGAAATATTTTCAAATACCCTAAAAGAGTCTCTTAATCTCTCCAAAAAAATGACCATACAAAACTCAAATTATGATTTAATTAATAGATTTATCATAGATTTTCAATTCCAAACAGTTCATTGTCAATTTCAGAGCTCTAGCAACTAGGCGATTTAAGCGGCCAAGTTGCCTTAAGTTTCTTAACTTACTTAAGTAAATTAAAGATCAAGGCATTAAATATCTTGCATTATTTGTGTTTTGTCTGGATTCCAGACACAATTTAGACTAGACTGGTATGAATATATACCAGTATTAAACTCATAGCAATTAACCCAATGCCAGCTATGTTTCCAAAATAATGATAATGGCAAAACAAAAGAGATCATTATTATAAGACAGAGCACATGAGCATATGACAGTTTGTAAAACATGTATTTTTATATCTATATTATATACTAAGACAATGCACATAACATAAATAATCATTTCTTCATAAAATATCTGCATAATCTGAATTGAATAACATCCGAATTCAGGGGAAATCCTTTATTGATTGAAGCACAAGATTGATGGGTTATAAAGATAAATTTTTACATTGCATTACTACATTTCTGTATTAAATGTATTTTCCCCATTTTCCTTTGTTCATAGAGAAGTGTATCTCTTTGCCAAGAATTCTTATCAGATAATTATTTCAATATTTCCTGCACACACTGTCTTACAGGCTGATCAGTTTGCATTACAATAGTACAACAGAAGATGGGAGGAACAAAATAATAAACAATTTGTTTTCAGTATTTCTGTTCTTGTAGTTAATAGTAAAATTTATGATATGTTCAACTACTTATAAAGAGCCAATGGCAAACCTGTACATGATGCAGTCTGATCATGCTCTATATAATTGTTATTTTGATATTAAATTTTGTTTCTTCTTGGAATGGACTGTTTCAAATGCAATGCTGGGCTTGCATTATACAAATTATGCAGGTTAATTTTCGTTTTGCTTTATATTATATTAATCAAAAAAACTCTGATTAGTCTTGTTAATCAATTACTTTCATTTAGTATTCTATTTGATTTGATTGACTGATGAATTAATTGACTAATTAATTGACTAAATAATTAATTGATTGATTGATTTTTTTTATTTATTTAGTTATTGATTTTCATTTATTTATTTACTTATTTTTATTTATTTTTTTATTTATTCAAAGTAAGTAAACTATGTAACAAATGTAACATAATACTCCACTCACTCTATCTATCTATCAACTTTTATCATGTTGACATTTTCTGGAGAATTGAGTATGTCAAGTACTGTAAACTGTTGAATATTTCATTTCCTGATTATCAACTACTTATCAACATTGCTTTCAACAAAATGTTCTGGAATAAATTAACTGTTCTTATGACTGCCTCATAAATTATTTACAAAATTTCCGTTAATATCTTAATTTATTCTCCTGATATAGACTTTCTAAATTGCATATCCATAAAATATAGTGGGAAATCCACAATTTTATTATTTTAATAATAATTGTGAAAATATCAGATAACTTTATTTGCACTTGTAGAGATATTTTAAAGCATGCAAGTGACGAATGCCCCCGAAAAGGTTTCTTAAGCATGCTGGTGAAATAAAGTGCTATTTATTGTAAACTTAACACCTTGGGACAAGAGTCATGGATGCTACACAACATCTTGATGTGGTAGACATTTATGCCAAGTTATTTTAAAATCCTTCAATGCATGACAAAGACTAATGTATACCTTTAAACTCCTCTTATGAGCATAAGTAACTAAAACTATTAGTGTGACCTTGACCTTGAAGCTAGGAACATGGGTCTTACAAACAACAATTATCTTGATGTGGTAGACATTTATGCATAGTTATTTTAAAATTCTTCAATGCATGACAAAGTTTGTCCTGACACAAATGTGTGTACCTACAAACTCTAATTGTGAAAAAGTGAACTTCAAAATGGTAGTGTGACCTTGACCTTTGAGATAGGGATGTAATTCTTGGACGCAACACATTGTCTTGATGTGGTAGACATTTGTGCCTAGTTATTTTGAAATTCATTGATTTATGACAAAGTTACAGTCCGGACAAGAATGTGTGTACCTATTAACTCTATTTGGGATAATATGAAACTTCAGAATGTAAGTGTGACCTTGACCTTTGAGGTAGGGATGTAATTCTTGGACGCAACACATTGTCTTGATGTGATAGACATTTATGCCTAGTAATTTTGAAATCCTTCAATGCATGACAAAGTTATAGTCCGGACACGAATGTGTGTACCTATTAACTCTATTTGTGATAATTTGAAACTTCAAAATGTAAGTGTGACCTTGAACTTTGAGGTAGGGATGTGGTTCTCAATGCACGCTTTACACAGTCTTGATGTGGTAGACATTTGTGCCAAGATATTTAAAAATCCCTCAATGTATGACAAAGTTACAGTCCGGACACAAATGAAGTGGGGACAAGACAGACAGTGCGATTTTAAAATGCCTCCCTTTGGGGGGCATAAAAATCACAAAAATATAAAACATTGTCATATATTCAAAAACTTTTCTAAATTCTAAAACCAGTCCAAAGTGCAGATAAACCATTGGTTACTGATGTTAAATATTAGGCATGTGATCAGACACAGCTAATCAAAAAGTATTATTTCACAGACTGGTTTTGAAATGTTTGTAAATCTAGAAATAGTCATTGGGTTAATATTTTCCAACAAATAAAAGGAAAAATAATTAATAATTTACAAACTTTGCACAGATCTCCTGTGGGCAAAATTGTATAAAATGAACAACATATTTTGAACAACAGTCAAAAGAATGAGTGTACAACAGAGTAACATCTAACATGTAAACAGAGTTACAACAACAACAACAACAGTAACAACAATGAACAGTACTCACATAGTCATAGAATTGTCCAAGAGAGATCTAACATAGAATGACAGATAGCAAAACTTTATAGCATATAATGATGATGTATACATAATACAATAAAACTGATCTAGAAGAAAATAAGAAATAGATCTTCATATTACACATGAATGTGTCAGAAAAAAAAACCTCCCAGATTTTGGTAGGTGCTAATTTAACAACAAAACATTGATTTCTACCATAGATATATCAAGGACATTAGTCAGAAATTTGATATTATTCAGAATATAGAAAGAAATATAAATATAGAAATAAATTATAACGATTTGTATCTTTGCAATAAGTAAATCCCCAAACTTCGCAGGCGGCATAGAGTTAAAACAAAAACTCATGTTAAAACATTAAGAAAACTATCAATAACAATAGATTTAGTATGTAATAAAATGGAATTATGAATTAATGTGAAAGAACAGGTAAAGATTCATGAAATACCTTGCTGAAAAATGAAGAAGAAAATGTTACAGAAGTTATACTTACTGAAGGGGATGGTCCCATAGGACTCCTGTTATATGGACTTAATCTATCCAAACTGTTTTGTGAATTATGATGTAAAGTTCCATTTCCATTCACTGTTAAACTGTCATCCAATTTTGAATCTTTCTTCTTCTTCTTATCTTTCTGATTTAATGTTTCTTTTATATTCTTTTTCAAGTCATCCTTATCAAACTTTTTCATCAATGACATTTCCTCTGGGTGCCTTATTCCTGAAAAATTTTAAAAAACAATCCAGTTGAGACTACAGTTTATTATAAATCTAATAGAAAAATAAAGCAATTTGTGTCCTCAAACTTAAGAGAGAGATTTAATTTATATATGGTGGTGGTGTTGGTATTTTTCACTCCTGATCACGGAAGTAAGCCACATTGAATTTACCAGAGCACAGTTCAGCCACTGCATCGTTCATGGGCTGACTGTCAAGCAGTTTACCAGTACTAGTTGCCTTCACCTTCGCATGGAAGTGATTACCTCTGTACATGCAAAAGCAGAGGTACAGTGCCCATGACCATAGAAAGGATTTATGATTAATCACAATGAAAGTGAACTGCGCCCTACGCCCGGGCCGCCCCATTCATATGATCTATATATATTTTTCTTAACACTTAAATACCTGACATTCAACATTTATGCCAGCCTTAAAAAGTTATGTTTTGTTTTGTTGAATTAGCATTCACTTGAAAACTATAGCTATCCAAAATCTAACTTTAAGGGTTCCCAGGCATTGGGTTGGAGCACACAGTTGTAATAAAGGCAATAATATAATTCATAGGACATTAAAGACAATATGTTCAATTTTACAGAATGAAAATATCTATGTATTAAATTGACTATCTAAGAATGTTATATCAGAGAAGAACTTGTCCTGCATCAAATTTGGCTCTGGACCTTCAAAACTGTATGTCTTACTGTATCTCACAATCTATTAATTCTAATATGTTGTCATGGAAATATCAGTGTTACTAGGAAATATATAAATTAATCACCTAGGATACTCTTAAGATTTTACTACATCTTCTTTTTAGTATATTCATCATAAATAGAGTTAGGCTTACATAATCTCTTTAAGGAATTAGCTAAGAATCAGCCCCATTAATTAGTGTGTTTTAATTTCCTGCAAGGTTGTTATAAATTAATGCTTTAAAACATCAAAGAACTTCTGAAATATTTAATGAAGTATTAACAAAAATCTATTTTACTCCCCACCTCCCAACTCCCCAGTGGCATGACCTCATACCTAGGCAATAATATCTTAAAAACAACAACAACAAAAACATTAATGTAAAAACTTTGAATACTTAAAACCAAATAAAGATAACTTAATAATAGAATAATAATGGAAGCAGTAAGGTCAATTTAAGTGATTTAATTTACTTATCAGATTCTATTCTCACCCATGTCCCTAAATAAACCAGAAACACAGTGTTATAATAGCCAGACTTGACAAGGTAATTTTCAACATCATTTGGCATTGTTCCCAGCTAAATTTTTGAGGCTCCATTCCCCAGATAGATTGCTTTTTTTCCAAAGATAAGTTAAAATGTCTGGAAAAAGCAATTTCTATCTTAAGAAATAGTTACCCTTTATATAAGCTATGTTCAACATATTTTGTTAAGCATATTTCAATTTTCCTCGGAATATTTCCTTATGATAAATTATCAAGAAACATGTACAAATTAGCTTTTACATAATGTAACAATTCTTTAGAATGACAAATCCTATAATTATTTCCTTGTGCACTCCTAAAGTATGCAAAACACAGTATGGAAATCTAAAAATTTTTATAGCTTTTAAAACTTTTAAAAAAATTAAAAAATTTTCTATATATTATTAAAAAAGGTTCAGCAGCCTGTTTTTTTTCATTTGTTATTTCTCGCAAAAATTTACCCAAATTATTTTACTTAGCATAAAAGTTTGAAAACCCATTTTTTGCATTTTATTATGTTTTTTAAAGGGTTTAAAGGGTTTTTTTAAAAGGGTTTAAACCCTTTAAATAACACTTTAGGGTAAACTCATAAAAGTCCCTTTTCCAAAGGGAATATCATGATTAAATCCTTAAAACCAATAATATTTTGTTTTTGTTTTGTTTGGTTTGATTAACACAATTTAGGTCATATGGCCCTGAAACAAGAAAGGTGATTTTGGCTACCTCGGGCTGTTACAACAAAATTGATGATGTAGAGGCTAGACAAGTCTATTAATCTGTGAAAAGTCAGCAGGTAAAAAGGTTTGTTTTTTACACAATGAGTCTATCTGTAACAGTTATATCTAAGAAACTTATTAGCTATTGGGAATTACAAGTCACATGTTCAGCATTCCAAGACTTCAACATTTCCATAAAATCAAAAGAACTTCTTGCACAAAAGACATGATAACACCTTACTAATGAGAATCTAATGATCAAGGTCTAAATTCCTAAAATGCTATAGACATCAGGTAAATTTAAAAAGGGCTTTTGTTATCCCCAAAGTAATTTTAAAGGGTTTTAAAACCTTAATAATCTAAAAGGTTTTAAAATGATAACCAGCAAATTTTATCCTAAAAATTAAAAGATTTTAATAATGATTTTCACCTCTTTAAATTAAATGGTAATCTAAAACACTTTTCGTAAACAAAAAAATAAAACTCTCATATAGAAAGACCATAGATTAGAATAAATATGGCTAATGTATTTCTCTGTAACTATTAAGATGTTTAATATTTTGTTAGGTTTTGTTTTTTTCCTCATCATAAAACAAAAATTTGATAGGTCTACTAGTCAGATAAGATTCTCTGGAATTATCTAAGGCTTATGATTCATATCACAAATACATCATATCTTTTATTAATCATATCTTACAGAAATGATGTGTTTTTGCAGAGCTTCATACAAAGATGTTTTTTTCGTGCCACACTACAATTAATACTAGGAATGTTATTATCAGAAACAGTCCTGGCACAACACAAGTCAGTTCAGCTTAGACTGTCTGTTATTCCAATTTGGATACCTTATTGCTGCCACGAAGTTCTTTTTTTATACATTGAAGTTTTTGAAAATTTGGAACAGTTTTGTCTCAGTACCTTGCTTATGATCTTTAATGTTTTACAATCTATATACATTAATGTTTTTCAACTTGGCAGGTCTTAGCAAGTTGTCATTAAACCTATGCATGAGTCCTCTTTCATCAAGTACCAATTAATTCATAAAAAAATCAAGATCAAAAATATCTTTCATTTTACAAAACATTCCACAGAATTTCATGAAAAAAAAATTCTGAACAAAAAACAAACAAACAAACATCAATTCATAAAAAAAATTTAAGATCAAAAATATCTTTCATTTTACAAAACATTCCACAGAATTTCATGACAAAAAAATTCTGAACAAAAAACAAACAAGCAACGAAAAAATAACAATTTCAGAAATGTCCAATGAAACGAACCTTTTGCTAAAAGGAAGAAAATGAATCTATGAATAAAGATGAAAATATGCTGTAAAACATATTAATAGTTCTGTCATATCAAGGATGTAACTGGGAAGATTAATTAAACAATGCCACCTAAGTTCAACAAATCTGGAAATTGGACTTTTTCTAGGACTTCTTCATTACTTCCTCACATTTTCATGACTTCCCTTTTTATAGTTGTTCACATGCAAGCAAACACTTGGTAAGCATTAAAAGTTTTAGATGAAAGGTGATCTATAAATCAATATCTTTATCCACATCATTTTCATTCCCACAAAATTTGTCCAAGCTTCTTATCCATGTGAAAACTTAACCAAGGATAACCAAAAATTGTAAATAATGCTTGTGTTGCCAAGAGTTTAAAATACAAAATGAAATTCGTCATCTATAACAAATACCTTACAAACATGACACTATTGATGTTATTCATAAAAAATATAATATGTTTCATGGATTTTACAACTTTGAGATATTAAAACATTAAAACAGAAATTTAGAAGATTTTCAGTACAGTTTTGTTGATATTTTTTTGAACACAGAAATACAAGTTATTCAAATTTATCCAAAGAAAGAAGTCTTTTAAATAATATCAAGAAAAAAAATCTGAACGTAAAGGTAGCAATTTGTCATCACAGTGTTTCCTTTATGACTTTCCAACAATGTAGTTTATGAATAAAATTTGTAACAAACACTTCTATATGTGATGGTAGAATGTTTTATAATATAAACAAGGTCTTGTTCAACTTGGTGACAAAAATATTTTTATGATTAATATAAAATCGATATATATCGGTTCAAATAACACAGAAAAACTTGTGCTAACAACTTGCTGAGTCAATAAAGAATTTCATATTAACAGTTTTATTTCAAAACATCAAACAAGACTGGGTAGAATAAACAAACATTGATTGCACTAGAAATTTCAACATTATCAACTTAAAATACTTTAGATAATCCACAGAATGTTCTTTTTTATCTAACAAGGTTTTGTAATTTAACTGTGATATCCCTTTTTTTGGTAACCATCATTTTAAAAAGAACTTTAGTATCTTTCCTATTTATTATCTTCCTCCCCAGGGTTTTTTTAATATTAATGTTTAAGAAGGAAAAACAATTTTTGCTTACCAAACGTCCACCTAATAATTTTTTTTTTTTAAAAATTTTTGTTAACCCAAAAATTTAAAATGGGGGGAAAAAACCCCTTTAAACCCGCTAAATTTGCCTTTGAAATTTTCCCCCGGGTTTTTAAATTTTAAACAGTTCCCCTTCAAATTTTAAGGGATTTCTATACAATTATGTACTAGTCAAAATATATTGATGTGCCAAAGCTTGATTCTGAGATATTTTCGTTCTGGGGCAGAATCTTGTTTTAGAGGCGAGATATTGCCCAGACACAAAAATAGCACAATATCTCGTCACATAGTACAATTAGTTGGACTAAGCCAAGTACCATCAGAGCGCAGGTTGGCCTGGCCCTTCAATGGTGGCAATTTTAGGCTCATCATCTTCAGTTCAAGCAGGTTAAGGGTTAAAGATTCCCTACCAAATGAACAAGGAGATTAAGACATAAATTATAATGAAGCAAAAATTGGCACTGAGACTGACAGGATCAATGACTTTAACCAATATAAGATGGACAATTTTCTTTCATATCCAACAGTTTATTTATATGATAACATATTTCAAATTCTCTCTTCAGGATGGTCTATAAGGCCTGCACCCAGAAAAATCTGAAGATATTTAGATATTGACGTAACATAAAAGATAACCCCCAAAACTGGGAATTTAAGCCCCTTTTTTCCCAGAAAAAAGTTTTTTTGTAAAAAATTGGGAAAGGGAACCCCCATTTATTCAATGACTCCCGCCGAAAATAGTTTTGGCAATAATTCTAAGGTATTGCTGATTACATTTAAAGAGGGGAGGTTTTATCACTGTTTAAACCCTCAAGCCAAAATGGCTTTTCAGTTCCCACAGAAAAACCCCTTGGCAACAAAAATCATTTGGGCCCGTTCTCACAAAAGAAACATGCTTCCTGTCCGGGGGATAGAAAAGTCAAACCCCTTAAAACCCCTTGTCCCAAAAAATACATGATAATAAAATGCTATGATAGTTCCCTTTTTTGTTTCTTTGCAAAATTTTATCAAATTTAAATTTATTTTACTTTTGATACCCAAAAACCCCCATTTTTAGCAGGAAGACATTTTAAAAGCAGCCAATAGTTCAGAGCTTTGTCACTAATCATTATACATAGTGGGTCTGAAAAGTTTTTTCCGATAGCCTTTTTTGTTTCTAAGCCTATTTTCTGCTGCCTCCCAAAGCCACTGGGGCCTCATTTCTGGGAAATCTTTTATTGGGTGTTAAACCCCCTTTTTTCTGCAGTCTTATTGTTGGAGGCCCGTTGCCCCGCAAGTTTTATTGCTGCTAGCCCTCAATGCCACTAGCCCTCATTGCAGTTAGCTCTCAATCGTTGGTGCTTGCCCTGTTTGCCACTAGCCCTGATTGTTGCTAGCCACATTTGCACTATATGAAGCCCGATTGCCGCTGCAGTAGCCCTCATTGGCATTAACTCTCAAAGAGTTATTATGATGATATGTGAACTAAATGATATTGTGATGTTGGTATATTTATACAGGTGAGGTATATCTAATCATTATATTTAAATTAAACATAAAGTTTATGATATATATGCCTCAATTCTAAATGCATGCATCAGTAAGTGCGACAAATAAACAAATTACGACATCATTCAAGATTTATCTGATTCAGTACCGATTTATGCTTTATTAATCTTAACACATAGACCTATTCAAATGATTTATCAAATGGGGAAAAAAATTGCAGACATATTTAGATGCATATTTAAATCAGCTTTATCACCTGCATTTAAATGTAAATTAATTGCCTGATGAAGTTTATTATCGTTTCCTTATATGTCCCATTCTGAAGTGCTCTTAAGATAGAAAGAATTTTGTTTTTTGCTAAAGCTTTCGTCTGACAAGCATTGAAAACTCCTTCTGCTAAAAACTTGCATATATAGATAATACTGGTATAAAGTGAATTTTATATTAATATATTTGCAGTATTTCAGTAGTTAAAATCTTATGTATATCTAGTTTGAATGCTGTAGGTTTGAATCCAGCTATTGACCTGGAATTTTTTTATAAAAGGAAGCTAACCTGCCAGGTTACAGAAGATTGCTAGGCATGGAGGCATCCATTAACATAAAATTGCCTTCAAGCAATACTTTATAGGTACTCTAATTATAAATTATGAAGTTTTCATTGCATTTATTGAATTATTATATTAATTTTGTTATCCTTTACTCGAGTTTTTATTGACTTGACCCAGAAACTATGGAGTAGAGTGTCAACAAATGTTTTATTCAGCATCTGTATTTTTATACAGTATATTACATGGTATGTAAACAGACACAATCACTTCATATCAATAGTTTGGTGGTTAACCCCAAACAGACTAAGATTTTCCTTTCACAGGGGTAGGAGATTGTGTGAAGAAAAAAAAACTCATTATAATACTTTATAAAACTAACATAGCAATAATGTAAAGTAATAAATTGGAAACCCTCCCTTAATACAATCCTTAAATAAAGTTTGCAAAAACTCTAAACAGTTCAACGTCAACCAATGTAATGTTAACAAAAGCTATATCATCATATCCATAACCATTGCTGACTTGTTATTATGACATTGACGCCTTTCCTATTTGTTATTACCAAAAGCATGGCGCGAATCCTTTTCAACCAAACTGTCTCTCAATACAAATGTTCTTTTATTTCCCTGGGAAAACTTATGAATTCCAATATTGGTAATAGCCTTGGATTGATTGGATATCACTTTCAGTGTCAACTGCTAACGTCGTGTTCGCTCAGTTTTTAAATTACAGCCGCTGAGCCTGATAAATTCTGTTGTTGATCGAATTATGAACAGTGGATAACACAGAGATCAATTTTGTCAGCAAGAAAAAAAGTGCAAAAAACTGATTGGAGGACGTTATCATGCGGTTTGTAAAAACTGTTCAACTTCGTGTTTAATGACTTTTCTTAGAACCAATAAGGGCCAAAATAGAAAAATGTGGACTAATGGCCCAAGGGGGCCAAAAAATTTTTTTTTCAATTTTTTTTTTTTTCCTTTTAATCTAACAATTTAATAGTTGAAAAATCTCTTAATTTGAGGTTCATGACCAAAATATGATTCATCATATAAACAAATGATAATATTTTGATAATTCAATAAATGAGCTACTTCAACTGTATAAAAGCCCCTTTGTCCAGACTGGCACTGGGTTATTACAGGCTTGGGCCGTGCCACTATTCTGGTTTGGCAAAGGGCCCAAAATTACTTAAATTTTTCCAGAGTTTTAGGAATAAATTTTTTACTCACCAAATTTTTCCTTACAGAGGAAACTGCTACTGAATGAAAATTGTTCCCAAAGAACTAAAATCAGGTCTCATATCGAGAATTTGTAAGTCCGGTAACTGAACACGTAGATTTTTATGCATTGGCGTAAAGTGAAGTTTTGCGTCAGCTTGAACACCGTACTGATCCAACGTTGACCTTGACCTCTTCAGCCATCTGTTTTTGTCTGGCCACCATAACGCATGATCTGACCAGTCCATTGCGATATCTGTAAAATAAAGACAATAGTGATTACAAGGTCGTAACATAATGCAAATATGACAATTACCCAATAGAACGTTCCGGAACTAATTAATTAAAACACACAATGTTCTATTTGATTGGAAGTAATTCTGCAATAAAATTGAAGATTTATTGGCCTGCTTTAGGTGCATCAATCTGCCACTAATTCCTTTTTAATGCATTTAAAATCTCATAGACAATAAATTTAACATAAAACAGACGTCAGGGGCTATAACTTTGGGATAAAACTCTTAGTCTTGAGAACATAAGATGGAGCCTTATCATAATTATGCATAATATCATGCCATTGTTCTTGGAGGAAAGAGCTGAATTAATGTTCACATTTTATAATGCTCTCTAATGCATGCAATATAAAATAATCAGGTTTTTATTATAATGCAATGTAAATTGGTGCCAAAAATGCAATGAATGTCTTTTGTGAAAAAAAAGGAGATAATTTAAGAAAGTTATATGAATTTTACTGATCAATCCTCTTTTAATTCTTTTTTCCCCGTTATTTTTGAAACAGCTTTTTTTCTAGTTCTTTTATTATTCCAGTATTATCAACTATATTCATCTATGGGTCACAGGTATTCTTTCTACTTGTAGGTGAAGGCAAGGACAGCTGATGGGTTCATGCAAGTACAAATTAGGCTAAAATTAGTTAATGGAATTTTAGCATACTATGATATAATATGTCATAAAATTTATGTGTTGTCATTTTAATGGGTTCTTGTTTGTCACGAGTCGTAAGGAATCCCACTGCTGTGAACTGCAGTTAAACTTGAAAACCATTTCATAATCTTAGCAAAAAATAGACAAGTGTTTTAAATTCTGTAATATAAGATTTAGATGAGAAAAAAACAACAACCACAAAAAACCTGTTATATACTATGCTTGTATACAATGACACAAATTTTGACAAACAAAACCATGAAAGGTAACGTAGGTGCTTGAAATATAAAACAGTATCATGTAAATCGGGGGAATTAATTCTAGTAATCATAATTTTATATATCTAATTATACCAAGAGTTTAAATTTTGAGAAAAAAGTGGGAATTTTCCAGTAGAAATGCATCTCGGGGGTTTTTTATTTTATAAAATTTTTGGAGGTTTGATTTTTTGTATAGGGTTTGGGAAATGAAAAAAAAAAACATACAAAATGCAAACAAGAACATAAACTAAAAACCCTAAAAAAAGGACTTTAAGACATTTGTTGACAAACAAACCCCTGCAAAAGATTTGCACTTTTTTTTTAAATCTATTTTTACAGCTACCCCCATCCCCTAACAAGCTTACTATGTAACATTGTTAATGCATCTACAAAATTTTACCTACATATTCTACATGAATTATTTTTCTTGCCTTGGAGCAAATTATACAGGTATAAAAAGGTGAAAACTAGACCAGTCGTGTTTTTAAAATTTTAATACCTATACAAGTAGTTACAACATACATTTAGTTTACCTGTGAATATTTATATTTAATTAAGAGTTTAGTATGCCACAGGAATGTTTGCGGTTGACAATGGTATAATAGTAAAATTAAAAGGTGTACCAACAGAGTAAAATTTTACTGTAAATACAGGATCACAGACATTCGGCAATACTATATATATTTTATATAGTAAACGGTTGCTGGATAGTAATTTTGTTCTTTATGATCAAGGGGTGATAATTTTACAATAATTTGACCATTATTGGCATGGCAAACGCCTGTGTATAGGATGAGTTGATTTAATCCTTACCCCACTAAACATCCTTCAATCTGAACTAAACCATTTTATCATTTCAAAATATATACTAACAGTGCAAGTGTAGACCATGATTAGGTGCCACTAGCTACAGGTCATGTTGCAGTTTACAAATTTGCAAGCATCTAGTTCCAATTTCATAGCAGGACAAATTCAATCCATAACATCAAGTTACTCAAGTAAAGAGGGAAGGCCTGGGAAATACCAGAAAACTTTCCAAAAAGAAAACAGGGTTTTATTTTCATTTTTTTACTAATGCACTACTATGAAAGTACATGTAGAAGATATAGGTCCTTTTCTGGTCCTTCGGGATCATTGAGTAAAGCACTATCAAGTGTCGAGAACTGAGTACTGCTCAATCAAAACCGAGTCTGCAATCATGCAATTTTTTCTGTTTTTGAGGGATTACTGTGTGCAACAATGTTGAAATGCCTTCTTTAAATGGCAGAATTACTAAAAACGCCAACTGTGAAAAAGTCCTCTTGTTCCTTCTGTTTTTAAAAAGGCTTAGTCTTTAAACAATTTAACTTTATATAATAAAAAAATTAAAACGAAAATTTTTGGATCAACCTCACGATTTAAATTTTAACTAGATTCTAAGAAGTATTCCCCTTAATGCCCCTTTACTTTGAGATCAATACACACCTAGTTTACAATCACTATTCAACAAAAATTTTGCCGTAAAAAAAATTTTTATTACTCAAAGAGGTAAAGAGAAAAGTGGGTAGTGGGTAGACAGATATAACTGATCAAGATCTTGACAGATAAAATTCTGTGTCAACAAAAATCCGATCTGTGTCAGGTCATAGTTTAACCTTTACTCTCCCACTCTGAATTTATTTGTAATGCACTTGCCCTAATTTTGAATTTTTAAATTAAGATTTTAATAACCAAAATTTTAAAAATTAAGCATATTCATTAGTGAATTCTGATTTATTTCCACAGATGCGCAGGTCAGCTTTGCTCTATAATGGTAAAAGAAATAAATCTGCATGTCATTGTACAGAAAGTTAAACAAGAAATATCATTTATATCAAAAGCGTATTGCGATGAAGTTTACTATTATATCAATATTATATAGAGTTTTGTAGTACCAGCAATATTTTTAATTAAAACAAAGTGAAAACCGACACCAAGATGGAACCAGCAGTTAAGTAGTCACATGAAATGTCAGCAGCTGATCAACAATAAGACAATCTCTCTATGGCAACAGCTTCATATGAAAACTAAGCATAATCATAAGATAATCAGAAAATCATCAGATGATCAGGCCATACTTTTATGAATAAATTATACAGCAATCAGACAACACCCAAAACTATAAATAATAGGAAAAAATAGCACTGCAATAATCAGGAAGGTCTATTCAAACAAAAACACAAATAATCAGAAGATTTTATAACCAGTCCATCCATTCAAAAAGTTGGGGGTCAAATTCCATTAAATTTCTTAATTTTTCCAAAAAAAATTAATTTTTGGTTTTCACATAGTTATTGTCTTTCTTTAAAAAAATTTCCCCATTTTTGCTTGTGTATTATAGAGTATATTTCCAAACCCTAGACCAACGGGCATTTTTTTCATTTACATGTTTATACATGTGACACAAATTTTCCACCCCCCGGGCTCATTTGTAACACAACCCCCTTTTAAAATTTTTGTGCCCAGTTCAACGTCTCCTTGTACAATAAACGGCCACATTCATTGTCCTTAAATGTTTTCCTCAATCGCAAGATTAGCCAGAAGGAGACATTCATGCCATTATCTAAATTGAGTAAATTCTATGCTTTAAAAAAGCTTTTTAGATAGTTGTTAAAACAATAATAAAATGCATATTAATTTTGACCTTGATTTAAAAAATCATCACAAAATCACAGTTTTATATTTTTTACAAGTGAAAGTGTGTTAAATTTATAATAACATATCAATTTTGACCACCAAAAGTGAAACAGCATTTGCAGAAAGGATAGAGCAAGGCCAACAACTTTTTAAGAATACAAAAATTAACAAACAGCCTTGCATACATGTAGCAATCCTATTTCCTGATGACACTAAAACAAATTTTAACAGCTCCACTAAAAATCAAGAGCTGACCGTGTTTATTTTGCTTTCTTTGGGGGATATTTTTATAATGGCATTTATGAACAAATTTAGAACTTTTTTCATTAAGAAGAGCTATAAGCAGGTTGGACCTGGGGGTTTAACTTTTTCCCCCTCTGATGGTTTTTCTGTCAAACCCTTATGGCATTTATAACTTAGATTTAAAACCTCAGCTCATACTTTAACAGCACAAAATTTCATTTAAATTTCAGAATAATGTGTTCTAAAGGTAAAAAAATCTGAAAAATTAACTGCATCCTATTTTTTTTTTTAAAACAAATTTGTCACAAAAAAATGGTGGAGTTACCCAAAAGGAAATTTGAAGGGGTGTTTACCAAATGGGAAAACCGGTCAACTTATACAATGCACCCCCGGGGATTCTATATTGGCCCAGTGGTAATGCACAAATCATTTATCCAGAAAATTTTCAGATTGATTCCACAACCCCCCAATAACAGTACAAAGGTCCCTTTGGGTAACCAATTTTAGGGCCTTTTTGTAACAAAGGTGTTCTAAAAATAGGGTGTAAACAACCAGGGTTGTGCCTCTGGTATAGGGCAATTGCTGTATCAATGCATTACCTCCAAAAATTAAAACAAGTAACAGTCTTCTGGGGGTGTCACAGATATGGGAAATCAAAATCCAACAAGAAAAAAAAAATATAGACTGGATGAAAGCACAGTGATTGTTGGTTCACTTTCTGTTTCAGCATTCTAAAGGTTAAACCATTAAATTTCTAATATTAACAACATTAAAATCTTATACTTGACCTATCATACTTCACAAACCAACTCTATATAATATATTGATGGCATGCTTTACATATATTATGCAACATGTTTATTTACAAGAACCTGCTGTATTGAACTCTAACAAAGATACAAACAAATCAACAATGGCCATCTAACCTTTAAAACACAAACATCTGCCTAAAAATTTACTCTCAGTGGTAGCCTATTATGTATCATTTTTTATATTTTCATGTCATATCAATTTTATATGAAGACAAATTGCCCAATTTCATGAGTTTGCAAATAAAGGTAATGTTCTTAAGTTACCATTATTACCCTTTTATGGGACAAACTTTCTCATCGAGGAATATATAATCATAATCAGGCATTCATCAACTCCGGAG